CTGACTGACAGACAGACTGACACACTGACTGATATACTGACTGACACACTGACTGACTGACAGACACACTGACTGATATACTGACTGACACACTGACTGACTGACAGACACACTGACTGATATACTGACTGACAGACAGACTGACACACTGACTGACTGACACACTGACTGATATACTGACAGACACACTGACTGATATACTGACTGACAGACACACTGACCGACATACAGACATACTGACTGACTGACATACAGACACTGACCGACATACAGACATTGACAGACATACAGACACTGACAGACATACTGACACTGACAGACAGACATACTGACTGACTGACATACTGACACACTGATACTGACTGACATACAGACACTGACTGACATACTGACTGACATACAGACACTGACTGACATACTGAAACTGACAGACAGACATACAGACATACTGACACTGACTGACAGACAGACACACTGACACTGACAGACATACTGACACTGACTGACAGACAGACATACTGACTGACTGACATACTGACACTGACATACTGACACACTGATACTGACTGACATACAGACACTGACTGACATACTGACTGACATACTGACACTGACTGACATACTGAAACTGACTGACAGACAGACATACAGACACACTGACACTGACAGACACACTGACACTGACAGACATACTGACACTGACTGACAGACACACAAACATACTGACTGACATACTGACACTGACAGACACACTGACAGACATACAGACACTGACAGACATACAGATGCACACACATACAGACTGACCGATATACTGACACTGACAGACATACAGATACACATACAGACAGACATACAGATAACACTGACAGACAAACAGGTACACACAAACTTATAGATACATAGACATTGAGATACACACACACACTGACAGACATACAGAAACGCTCACACTGACAGACATACACACACTGGTAGACATATATACATACTCACAGACATACAGACACACACACTGACAGACATACAGAAACACACACACAAACAGACATACAGATATGCACACACTAACAGACATAGAGATACACACACACACACACACACACACACACTGACAGACATACAGGTACACACAAACTTACAGATACACAGACATAGAGATACACACTGACAGACATGCAGATACACACACACACAGTGACAGACATACAGATACACAGACATAGAGATACACACACTGACAGAAATACAGACACACATACACTGGTAAACATACTGATACACACACACTTCTTTCTACTGCATTGACTTTCTGACCACCATGCTGACAGGTCACACAGAGCTTGAGCTCCTGGCCGATATTGCTTAAAATAAGCTTTCCAAGACTCAAATAACCAGATATTGGACACTCAGTCGATACCGTTACCAAACATGGCAGGATCAATTCTGGAAAGTGTTTTAGTAGCAACACGAATGATACACGGCGACTGTGGCCTGGACCTATCTACAGCCTATTGGCTTCCTGGCGGGGGAAGTGGCTGACCATTCCGGGGGCTGAACTGGCTCCTTTACTCGAGGTCTCGCAGAGCCCTGCACCCCCCTTCACAGGACCAGTGGGGATTATTCTGGTCCCCCCACTAAGTGAGCACTTACCTCTGGATCGCTCTGGGGTACAAGTCTGGGAAACGGCTGACAAGAGGACTTTCCAAGATGGCCAACAGCACCTCTTTACCTTGCTGTGCCAGCTACATTAAGCAGCTGGGAAGCAGTCTTCCTGCAAAAATGCCTAATAAATATTTTTGAATTAAAAAAAAAACAAAAACTAGTTTTGGCTCTTAAAGGGACCTGTAATTTACAGTACAAGCAGAAAGAGAACGTTACTGCATTGGGTCTTCTAATTTCCTGCTATTGTTTGTCCTTTGGCTGCAGGTAAGTACTTTTATTTTATATTTTAATAAAATTTTTCCTTTTTGCTATGAATAGTTCTTTCTCTGGGTCCTTACTGTAATGGCGACTTTACGTGTTCTCTACGAGCTCCTTGTGATTTTTGTGATTAGTCCAGTCACTGATATCTTGGGCTTTCTATGTTGAGCTGACAGGGGCAGCCTGCTATCCTGCATTGATTGATCGGTTTGAGGCTGCTTCCAGTGGTTGTTTGCAGCGATTCCTGATGCTTGTGGATGAGGCCTAACAGTTGTTGTGGAGGAGAGAGGCAGCCAATCTCCCAGCCCAATGTGTGCTCCCTCATGAAACCGAAGCCCCGCTACCCCCTCCCCCATGGACCGAAGTGGTTATCCCGGTCCCCACCCCGAGGGCTCCTTACCTCTACAGGGGGCCGATGGTGCTGCCGACACTCAAGCTGTCGCCATGCCTGGCGCACTCAACATGGCGGGGACCACTTGCTCCTGGCACAGCATTGAGGAGAAGCCTGGATTATTGCTCCGGCTGGACAGCCTCTTTGAGTCTTTCTGGCAAAAATTGCCTCCCACACAAGGTCCGGCACCAAACTCACCTGTGCAGCCTCTCCAATGTCCCCACGTCTGAAGAGTGGTTACAGGTCCTGTAGCGGCCCACCTCAGGCAGCATGGGCTGCACTGGCAATGCTGGAGAAAGAAAGTGCACAATCATCTGCCGAAACTGGGCATATTCAGGCCAGGATGTGGGTCACCCAGGCTGGCTGAGGCGCAACAGGGACCATGGCATGTTACACAAACTCTGCACTACCTTCAGGAATGTAATGGCACCCTGGGCATAAAAGGGGTTAAAAGCCGTTTAGTAGATATTCCCCTTCCAGATATAAAGGCAGCTACCGAATACACCAATCCGCCGAACAGGAAAACCATAAGCACTGCAGACCGAACCTCTCTTCCTGCAGAGAGCAAAGCTGGAACAAGCTCTTAAAAGAGCTTAGTGATTCTAGCTAGGGGAGTATACAGAGTATAGCAATCGCCCAGTGTAGATGAAGTCTGTTAAGACACCCCTGGCACAAAGGAGTGAAATCGCCGTTTAGTTAAGCTTCCCCTTCCTCAGTAATGCAGGCTCAATTCGTGTATACCTCAACCGTACGAACTGCAACCAGGGGAATGCGCCAATTTCCCGAACGGGACCCATACGGGTGCTCCAAACTCCCGAACAATAAATCCACGAATCGCGGCTAACAGCTGAACAAATATATTCTCCAAGCGGCTTACGTTTCCAGCAATCAGTCGCTAACCGTGTGTAGTAAATCCCCCCAATAACGAGACCAACCTCCGCATTGAGGGTAAAACAAGAAATGGCTTTACTGTGGGCTACCTGCCCGTATTTATGCAGGTCTCCCACCTGGTGGACACTCCCCTAGGGGACCAAATGGGAGACTGTAGTTACAGACAGACATGTAGCACTTTAGGACATACAGGCACAGAATATTCCCACAATGCATCCTGGTTTCCTCCCCTCTGCCCTGGGGATAATTGAGAAGTAATTCAATTTTATGGCAAGACAGGAGGCTTCATATTTGCTTATCTTTCTTTACTGAACCTCCCAGCAGCAAAGAAATAGTTAACAATAGTGTAAAAACAATTCAACCAATCAGAGTGTATAACAGTATTATATGATGTCTTCAAACTCCTCTCAAGTCCTCTTTCTTTGCTGCTTGCCTCCCAGGCCTTTAATGCAATATTTGAACTAATTTTCTCATTAATTTGTTAAATTTTATAGCACCCATATCTCTATTATCATTTTTAAATAATTTTCTGTGGTAATGTTTTGTTTATCAAACATTCATTTTCACTAGTTTCTCACACAATTTATTATCAGTACACAATACCCTTACTACATATAATTATACCTAACAGTTTGTTTATTTATGTCTCTGAACAGTTTTTAAACTTTATCTCCATTGTTCCCCTTTAAAAATCGTCGGGGTTTGCCTCCGCAATTTTATTACATTTGTGGCTGTGGTTTCCTCTCGATTCTGATTCCCAGGAGTCCGCGGCCCAATTTCGCGCCCTTTCTCAGATCCCGCCTTCTCGCGCCTGCAATTACCTGACGCGCTTCCTCCCGCCCTTTTGCTGGCGATGGCCATCTTAAACCGCGGTTTACCTTGTTATTTATGTACGATCGCTTCACCTCACGTTGGATCCGGTAAGTATCTTATTTACTTGTTGCTCATAGCACTCTTAAAGTGCTACCACCTTTTTCCAAATTATTCTTTGTACCTATTTGTTTTTCTTGACAGGAAAATACCTGCTGTATCTTATCATTATTAAATAAAGGACAGCCTTGTGGGTGACCCCCACCTTTTTCTTTGTCACTTGATTCATTGAATGTTGTTGTGGGTGACCCCCACCTTTTATTCACTTTCTAATCAATTTATGACAGGTGTCTCAACGCCATTACTACAAGTGAGTGACCCTCACCTTTGCAAATAATACAATATATTATGTAAAATGACCCCACACTTTATTAAATATTTTACAGACATACTCATAAAAGTCTGACTACTGAGTGGTGAACCCCAGTTCTTATTGTTACAGTGGTACAATCCACTTATATAATTTAATGGTCTATCCCACTATATATTGTGTGCCGCCCTTATATATCAAACTACGCTTATTTGGGTGACCCCCTACTTAGAAATTTTACTAAGCACAATTGGGTGAACCCCATTTAACATTCTTGTCTTACGACTATTTGTCAGAATCATTAATACAGTCCTAACTAAAATGTCTGACAATACTGAGCCCGCAATCTCTCAGGAACTTAAAGCTTGACTGGTTTCAACCATTACTGAATCCATCCCCAAGGCGTTAGCAGCCTTCCATGAAAAGACTCCTGGCAAAGTCAATCCCACCGCACATTTACTCTCTGACTCAGAGGACTCTCAGCCCTCGGATCAGGAGGTCATACGTCCTTGGAAAGGGAATAGTGTGTCTGCGGGCAAGGGCAAGGGCAAGGCTCCTGCCAAGTCCCAAAAATTAACTGTCACTCGCCCCGCCCAAACTATATTCGACCCCTTGGAGGGTTACACTTCTCAAATGGGCGATGGGGTTGAGGATTACTACCTTGGCTATTCTGATGAGGACCCCTCGGCGAATGCGCTAGGGGATACCCCATCGGAATTTGTCAAGGAGACATTCATTACCAAAAAGGACACAGATGCAAACATCTCTATGCCCAAGGGACCCGACACAGACACCCTTCTGGATGCCTCGGGTGTCCTTTTTTTCGACCCAAGGGTCATTAGACATCCACGTTCGGCCGAATGGGCCCCACCTGACCACATCTCTAATTTTTGCAAGATGTGGCTGCGTAAGCCCCTTGAAAAAGAAATAAGGGCTAAACTCAGAGCCGAATGCCCTCGGCCAACTATACCAAGTAAAGTGGCTCTCACGCCAGAGTTTGACCCGCTATTTGTGTCCTTCTTCACTAAAACAGGGAAAGACCCTCGCAAGGGTATTGAGCAGGGTCTTAAGACAGCCCAGGACAAGCTCCTGGATATCGCTGGTCCCATCATCCAAATTTTCATACTAGCTGACGAAGCTATAACTAGTGGGGAGTTTGACCCTCACACAGTCCGAGAATGGGCCCAAAGAGCCCTATGTTTCCTGGGCAATGCAAATGTGGCTATATCCACTGAGAGACGTAGGGCGGCACTATATAAACTCAATGCTAAATTAGCAGACTTAAGCTCCCGAGAACTGGGTCCAGAAGCCAATGGCTTGTTATTTGGGGACTTTCATGAGAGATCTGTCCAAACGTGCAGCGGTATTTACTACCTTAAACAAGGCCCAATCCTCCCTATGCAGGGTATTTCACTCCCAGTCAGGTCGTTTTTCTGGGAGAGCTGGACGTTATAGAGGCTGAATGAACAGCAGAGCTGCCTTCACAAGCTACAGGCCTCGTCCCTCAGAAAACTACTGGAACTCGGGACCCCATCGACCCTACCACAGGCAGTTATTCACCAATAGAGGATCCATCCGGGGACGTGGATCTGCCTCCTTACGAGGACGCACTGCTCCAGGTAATAAACCTTCCTTTTTTCAATGTACCTATAGCAGGTCGACTAACCCATTTTTTCCAACAGTGGGAACTGCTTTCACAGGATCTATGGATCCTACACACAGTCAAGAGGTTCAAAATAGATTTCCTTTCCACTCCCTTCCAGGACATACCACTTACACCATTTCGGATGTCTGCAACAGACAACCTGGCATTACACACAGAATTGAACAAACTGGTGGAAAAAGGGGCGATGGAAAGATCACCCTTCCCACATACCTTTCTAAGCAATATTTTTCTGGTCCACAAAAAATCC